CCAAATATCGTTAAGCACTTTAATTTGCTTTCCCTATTAAACCACAGCACACCCCATGGATTAGGTCATGTCTTCCATTTTACTGAATAACGAACAAAAGTAAATGGTAAGAAACTAATTTCCTGCCTCCCCCTTCCCTACCCCAACTCCTATGCATCCTTCAAAACCGGGTTCCTGTGACGTCTCCTCCAATGGCTGCACCTGCAGCGTAGTCAGCCATGTTGCCCTCGGCTCCCCAACACCTCTGTTAGCTACCTTCTCACTACACTGCAGTGGTTACCTGTGTGCTGGCCTGTCCATGCCTTGCAGACTGCGAGCCCAGTAAGAGCAGGAACTGTCTTCTTCTTTTCTGTACCCAAGCATTTGGCGCATAGGAGGGAAACATCATTCAAGCAGTAGACAGTTACTAGCCTATACTTCCAGCTCTATCCCTCTTCTTGAGTTCCAGCCATGGCTTTCAGTTTCCAGCAACTACCCTACCTGCACATCATTCATAAGAAAGAGCGCTTACCATCTTAATTCCCAACCAGCTCCTTTATTTCTTCTTTTTTAAATTTTATTGGAGTATAGTTGATGTACAGTGTTGTGTTAGTTTCAGGTGTACAGCAAAATGATTCAGTTATACATATACGTATATTCATTCTTTTTCAGATTCTTTTCTCATATAGGTTATCACAGAATGTTGAGTAGAGTTCCCTGTGCTATACAGTAGGTCCTTGTTGGTTATCTGTCTTATATATAGTAGTGTGTGTATGTTATCCCAAGCTCCTGATTTATCCCTCCCCACCACGTTTCCCCTTTGGTAACCATAAGTTTGTTTTCAATACCTGTAAGTCTGTTTCTGTTTTGTAAATAGGTTCGTTTGTATCATTTTTAAAAATTAGCCTCCACATATGAGTGATAGCATATGATATTTGCCTTTTTCTGACTTACTGCACTTAGTATGATAATGTCTAGGTCCATCCATGTTGCTGCAAATGGCATTATTTCATTCTTTTTTATGGCTGAGTAGTATTCTATTGTATATATGTACCACATCTTTATCCATTCCTCTGTCAGTGGACATTTAGGTTGTTTCCATGTCTTGGCTATTGTAAATAGTGCTGCAGTGCACGTATGGGTGCTGGGTGCACGTATCTTTTTGAATTATGGCTTTCTCCCCAACCAGCTCCTTTCTGAATTGTCCGTTGGGGTTTGAGGCATCATTGTGTTCTCAACCACAGACTCTGGAATCCTCCCCTTATCTGCCCCATTTCTCCGCCCCACCCTCCCATCCAAGAAGCTGCCTTTCTGAACCTTCTCAGAGCTGCCCCACCTCCACCTTTAGTGGGTATAACTCACCTGGGGAGTATGTGGAAATGCAGCATCCTGGCTCCATCCCATGGATTCGGACTCCTTGGATCAGGAAACGAGTGAGGCTCCCACTGCCAGTACTAGCAAGTTTGCGCTGATAAATTTAGGAGTTGGTTGGCAGCTGAAGCAGAGATGATGGGTTAGGGGTAGAGAGAGGTACAGAAAAAGAAGGGAAAGGGGCTGAAAAGTTAGGTTAGCCCACCAAAACCTGCTGCCTAGGATTGCTGCAGTTGACTGAAATTTAGTAATCACTGAGCATTCCCTTTATCCTTTCAATAAATATTTACTGGGTATCCACCGTGTGCCTAGCTGGAGAGTAATAGCTAACATTCATTGAGTGCTCCCTTTGTGCCAGGCTGGGATAGTTGTCCCAACAACCCCATGAGGGAAGCGAGGGGGCAGGAAGGTGAGCGGAGGCTCACGGTTGCACAGCTGGTGTGCGACTGTGCAGGACTGTGACCCGGAGCCCGGGCTCCTGACCGTTCTGTTGCAGTGAATGCTCCAAGGAGATCCAACAAGACAGCACTCCATCCTCCTGCCACTTACCTTCTAGTGGAATTTCTTAACAGGCTATCATTCTATTCTAGTAAGTTATTATTATAGAAACCAGCTAGCCGTGTTCATCATTTCTTTCTTTAAAAAAGAAAAAGTTAAATCCTGAAGTCATGGTTCATCAGAAGGCAAAGGAGAGAAGCCACATCTGTCCTGAACCAAGCTCCCACAAATGAGTTACAGAGCATGTTCCACTCGTTCCCAGTTTTTTGGTTTTTGTTTTTACTTTCCAGTGTTTAAAGTTTTTTAAAAAGTCTTTAATTCAGCAGATGTTAGATTTGGCAGATAGAAACAGGATAGAGTAGGTTGGGAGTGAATCTATATATGGGAAGAGAAAATGCAGTGAGAAAAAATAATTAATAGTTGGGATGTGTTCAAATTCTTGCTTTGCAGGGAGGCCCTGTTTTGGTTGGTGAGTCATCTTTTTTTTTTTTTTTTTTGGTAAGAGTGACATTAAATGGCTATGATTGTCCTAATGCTGAACTGGGGGAAGCAGCACTAATATTGGTATGAAGATTCAAAGTAAAATACTAACTAGAATATGCTGACAGCTCTGAGCTGGTATAGGCTTGTGTAAAAGGCCTATAAGAAATTAGAAACCTTCAGTCTGTTTTTAAATTGCCTTCAATACGTTTTTGTAAAGAATGTTTCCATAGAAGACTAACATGCCGTTGGTGGCAATAAAGAATGCGATGTCTTCGCAGAAGCAATGGCATAATAATTGCACACTCGTGTAGCACTTTATAAAGTTTAGCAAGTACTTTTTACAGCGTGGGTTTTCACAGAGACTTTTAACCTGTTCTCTCATTTTTATTTCATCACAAAGAAATGGGGCAACTAAAAGAAACCAAGACTTCTTGGAGAAATAAATGTCTGCTTCCAGGGCTAGGGCAGGGAGGGAACATGAGCCCGCAAGAAGACGTGCTCCGAGGATGATGGGGACGTGTGGGAAGGTCTCGGGAGCCTGCCTGATAGGGCTCGCACTGAGCAAATCAGGGATGAGTTGGGCATCAAAAGAAATAGTAGTAAAGGATTATAACTTCTTGAATAAAATGAGAATCCATGAGTCCCTACTAAGGTAAACGAATGAATAAATACATTGGGGAAGAAGGAACACTCCTCTTTATATTAGAAAGTCAACTAAACAATGCAGAAGGAATGATGGAATTAGAAGTCACCACTTACCAACCATCATAATAATTGGTTCAGGCAAGAATCATGAATGGATGTTAAAAGTAGGGTATTCAAGTTTGAGGAGTATTGTGATGTTTATATATTCTCAGAGTACATCCCCACAAAGTACTTTTTCATGACAAAAGGCAAAATGGTAACTGTACAGTGGAGAACCCTGGCAGACGCCACGTTGACCAAATGATCCGAGTAAACATTGCTGGTGATGGGACTAGCGGGCTGCCTCCTGATGGGACAGGTGTTCAGGGCAGGACCTCAGCGCTAGTCTGTGGTGTCCCTGCCAAACGTGCATTACCCAAAGCTAATCTTGAGGAAGCATCAGACAAGCCCAGGTTGGGGAACAAAATAACTAGACAGGAAGGAAAGCGACCAGTGACTGCAACACGTGATCTTAGGTTTTCTTTTGCTATAAAGATATTGTTGGGACAAAGGAGAGCATCTCAATAAGGTGTATAGATTAGACATCGTATTGTTTCAGTGTCAGTTCTCTGACTTTGATAGTTTCCTTGTTTTCAAGAAATACACACTGAAGTGTTTAAAGAGAAGGAAGGGAAGAGGGGAGGGAAGAAGGAAGGAAGGATTTCCTGAGAAGGGGCACTGTTGTCACAAGGGTTAAAGCACAGAGTCAGCCCCTCAGCCCAGGCTTCAAGTGAGGGAGGTGGGCACTTCCCCAGCGAGCGCCAGCAGCTCCCTGGGAAGGCCAGAGCCGGTGCCTTGCCTCTCTCTACCCGTGGCGTTCTGTCTGTGCCAAGACACCACACCTTTCCTGGGGCTGTCCCCCGGCCTAGAATGCCCCCTTCCCTCCTCCCCACCTGCCCAGAAAAAGGCCCAGCTGAGAGATTTAGAGGAAGGAGAAGCAGAGCTGGGGTTAGGAGCCCGGCGCAGCCTCCAACCTGAAAGGGAGTGGCGCCGCACAAGGGGACAGAAGCCACGTGACCCCCACCTCAGTTTCCTCACCTCCACAATGACGGCATGGACTGGACGGTTTCTGGGGCCCTTTCTGCTACTTCGCGTGAACTTGTCTCCCTCTGACAGCCTCTCCAAAAGCCCCCCCAAAAGCTCTCCCTTGACCTCAGGAAAGAGGCTATGTTCCCAGCCTCTGAGAGATTGATTTTTGGAGTGCCTTCCTGAGGTATGTACCTTCTGCAGATCATGTGTTCAGACTTGTGGAATGTTGCGTTGATCTCTGCCCGCCCTGTGAGTTTTCAGTAAATCCACAGTGTACTGTTTGGAGGGTCAGTCAATTTGCTCTTTCCTGCAGCACGTGGATTGGGCAATTACCATGTCCCAGACCCGTGCCCGGCATGGGGGGGACCAGTGAGGAAACACAGGGCCTGCTGTTGAGCAGATGGTGCACGTCCTGGCACCTGATAGGACGGTTTCTGTAAAGTCACTTGTCCCTGTGACTGGAAAGGAGTAGGTAAAAGAACCAGAAGCCCCCACTTTGCTCCTGGTCAGTTGTATGAACTCGTATCCGCCGGATAACCTCTGTAAGCCTCAGTCTCTTCACCCATTCAAAGGGAATAGCGATCTCACTCCACTGCCTACCTGCCCGCCTTGCAGAGCTGTGGCCCTTCAGTGGGAGAGTTCTATGTAGAGCTTTGCAGATATGAGGCAGTCCTGTCCTTATTCCCTCAACGTGCATATATGGAAGTGCTTTGAAAAACAGGGTCATTTTTTATTGAAGTATAGTTGATGCACGATATTATATGTTATAAATGTAGGGTCTTAAACACAGAGAGAATGACAGCGTGTCTCTGCCTTCTCCTGAGCTTGAAAGAGACAGCATCGCGAGGGCAATAGGGTAAAGCGCAGGAGAGTGAAGCGCCGATGGCTTCCCTGTGCCAACTTGTGGCTCAGACCTGGTCCTTGGTCACGGGATTGAGTGTGTCTTGTCCTTGCAGTGCACCAGGTGGCTGAGCGCGTGGAGGCCCTGGGGCAGTTTGTCATGAAGACCAGAAGGACCCTCAAAGGCCACGGGAACAAGGTTCTGTGCATGGACTGGTGCAAGGATAAGAGGAGGATCGTGAGCTCTTCGCAGGTACGTCACACCTGTCAGGTGATGGTGGGCACATTTCTGATTGTAAGCTGAAGGGAAAGAGCCGTCCTTTTCAAAAGACCCTCTCCGAATGTTATGTCTCTGCCTGTTCGCCAAAGGACACGAGTTACCCCGGTAAGAATTCTCTGGCGTACTTGAAAACTTCACTAATTTGGGTAGATTTGAAATTAGTAATAACTGAAATATTATGAACTCTATTTTACAAACCATTCAAACATTTTCTTCCTGAGTATATTTCAAGGTCTTATTTGTAAGTGAAACCATTTTTAAATTAGGGTTTTTTTTTCTCCAAGTGGAGGGCGTAAGTGGTTGAAGTGCCATTGTGGCTTCTTTCAGTTTAAGAGTTTAGCAGTTTTTATGCCTTAAAGAACAAATTTAAACTATGTATTTTGTGAAGTATACTTTTTTCATTCATTTTATATAGCTGACATGGTTTATTTTTACATCTTATGTATTAGTTATTAAACTGCTACATAACAGATTACCCCCAGGTTTAACAACTTACACAGTGAATATTTCGTATCTTACATGGTTTCTGAGAGTGAGGAATCAGGAGCAGCTCAGCCGGATAGTTCTGGCTCAGGGTGTCTCACAAGGTTGCAGTCAAGATGTTGGTCAGGGATGCAGTCATTAGACAGTTTGGCTAAGGCAGAAGCTCCCTTCCAAAATGGCTCACTCACGTGGCTCTTGGCTAAGGCCTTAGCTCCTCACCATATGAACCTTTCCATCAGGCTGCTCACGACATGGTAGCTGGCCTCCACCAGAGCAGGAGAGAGAGACAAAGGCAGAAGCCGTGCTGTCTTTGATGACCTGGCCTCAGAAGTGACATTCCTTCCATTCTGCATTCCATGGTCACACAGACCAACACCGATATAATGACGGAGGGGCCTGGACAAGGACATGTCTTTCAGGAGGCTAGCCACCACTGCTTAATGCTTTTTATGTCTATTTTGATGTTACATTCGTTGAACATAAAACCATAAACTGAAGTCATATATTTTTATGGCCAGTTTACCGCCCCCCTGACCCCTGCCTCTGCCTTTAGTCCAGCTTTTTCAAAGCAAAATTTGGTTTTTATTTATAACCCTTTTAAGTATCAAAACTGTACATATTCTAAATAATCCATGAGTTCTAATATCTCTGTCGGTACTATGTTTGATAGGACAGGTGTTATTAATCTCCTGTATTACCTGCAAATCTAGTATATCACGTTGCACTTGCTTTTTTAATGTTCATAAAAATATTTAATGTATCAGTTATGTATTTAACTGGAAAAAAGAAAAGGTTTTTACCCCTACCACCCTGTTACAATCATTATTATCTTAGAGCACCTCTTTCTAGACTTTTTTCCAAAGGCTCCTTTTTACAAAGTGGTTGTTGAGATGTACATGTTGCCACCTAGCCTTTTAGACTTTTTTTTTAATCCTTAAAAGGATGCCATATGTTGGACTTTCTGTCGCTCGTGTACCACTCTTACTAGAGAGGGTGGGAGAGGAGGAGGGATGCTTCAGCACTGCTGACTGACTCCATCCATCCACCTCTACTGCAGAGGGAGTCGGAGAGGTGGGTGGGGGAAGGGAGGAAGGTGGGAAACAGCAGAAGGGCTCTGGAACAGACTTTGAGTGACTCAGAGCAGCCTTTCTCCCTTAAAAGGCAGGAAATTCATCTGCCTGACTGAGTGGGTTGGGGTTTGGGGTGGAGGCACAGTCTCTCCAGGTACGTAGGCCCCCGGTGTCTGTGCTCACGGAGGGACCACATTTAGTTATGAGACTGCTTTTAGCTTCTTGGTTGCCTTTCTCTCTCCAGAGCGCACAGTAGGTGGGCGGTGGAGCCAGGCAGGCGGGCTGTGCGGTGGAGGAAGCCTCTGAAGGGAACGCTGACTTGGGTGATACACTGAGTCTCTACCCCCCGCCCCGCCGCAGCCCTCTGCTCTGTTATCTAATTCACCCACACAGCATGTATGGGCGTTTAGTCAGAAAAATTAGAAGCACAAATGTGCTTAGGAGTCTTAAAAGGCCCCAAACCGCCGACTTTGCCTTTGATCACGGCCTCTCAGCCCCACGCAGCGTGAATATGGAAACCCTCCATCAGATCAAGTGAAGCAGGCAGCTGTGTCACTTTCATTACTCAGACCTTGCTGGCGCCCCTAAGTGGCATTCACCTCGCTCACCAGATCTGGCTCCAAGTGGCTTGAGTGATTAAAAAAAATCAAGCCTGCAGTGGAGACTGCAGATTCTCCATCCCTGAGGATGTGGGGGGGACCCACGTGCTGAAGGAGGTCGGCTCAGCCGTCCCCCTCCACTGCCAACGGGAGCCTGGGGGCCCAGACAACCCTCACACCACATTCTGGGTAGACGACTGCGCTGCAGTCACCGGGGCTTACGTGGGTTTACCTCTGATGGGTTTGCGTTACAAACAGATGGCATCATAGCCCCTCCCCACACCCCCTACTGGGGCTGCAGAGCGGATCGCAGTGAAAGTGGCCGTGTTGTCTGTGGCATCGCCCAGAGCTCACCCTCCACAGGGAGTGCTCTTTGTTTCTGGAACAGCTGCTCACGGGGGCCCCCACCATCATAGGTGTGAGTCCCATGTTGTTTTGCAGGGTGGGTGAGGGTGAGGCTGTGATGTCCCTGAGCACCTGGGGGAGTCAGACTGATGTCAGGCCCACCCAGTCCCCCTCCACAGCTTCCACAGAGGGAGGGGGGGTGAAGAGTGGGGTGGGGCTCTTACACGGTCCTGCAGGGAACGTGGACTCAGGCGAATGGTAGGGAGGACAGGCTGGGGAGGTGGGGTGGGGGGACCGTTAGTTACTGTCAGGCATCTGAAAGTAATTTCAGCTTTACCTTATCCCTGTATAACTTACTGACATTCGGGGTACGATGGTGATGACAGTTTACCAACAATTTGTGCTTGGTTTATAATTGGCATAAAAGAAGTGTCTGAGTGTTGCTTTCTGTCATTGTATCTACACAAGGGATGCAAGGTTGAGAACTGAGACTTGCATCATGCTGGAAAGTGCTGTCGCCACCTACTCGCATTTCTTCAAGGATGGGTTGGAGGGTCTTGATTGTCCAGATACTTGCTCTGGCTTTCCACTTGGCACTGCCCAGCTGGACTTGGCTTTCCATGAGGTTCTCAGCAGTTAACGTGTTAGGGCTTGTTGACAATTTTTGAACTGTTCACTCTTTTCTGTTTTTCTTCAAGTGTAGTTGATGTACAATATTATATAAGTTACAGGTGTACAGTATAGTGACTCACAAGTTTTAAAGGTTATGTACTCCATTTATAGTTATTATTAAATATTGGCTGTATTCCCTGTGTTGTACAATATATCCTTGTAGCTTATGTTATACATAACAATTTGTACCTCTTCATCCCCTACCCCTATACTGCCCCTCCCCCCCCATCTCCCCAGTGGTGACCTCTAGCTTGTTCAACTGTTCACTCATTTCCTTCCAGGATGGGAAGGTGATCGTGTGGGATTCCTTCACTACTAACAAGGTAAGGCATTGTCCCTGGTGGATTGAGGCACTTCAGAACCCCAGCCCTGTCCTCGTCCTCTCCAAGCACCCCACTACTGGTCTCCCTGCCCTTCAGTAGCCTATTTGGGGGTGCAAACCTGACGAAAGCCCACCCGTGTTCGGATGGTTCAGCAGCCCACTGTAGCGTTCATTCCTCTCTTGAGCCGAACCCCTCGCCCAGAGAAGAGCATGCAGGGCGAACACAGAGGGTGCCGATACGGAAACAGGAAAGGGCATGGCCCCGAAACTTGTCGCATTCACACGTGCTACTACCGCATTTAGGATTTTTCTTCTGGCTGATGATAAGAGGTACCCAACCCCCAGTTTCCTCTCCCCTCTCTGTCTTCGACTAGACTCCATAGCACGTGGACTTGAGCAAACAGTGGGTGGGGAGCCGAGACCTCAGTGGGATTAAACTGCTCTTCACGGGGATGCCGTGGAGTCTCAGCCCCTTGCAAGTCTGGCATAGGCATGTACTGCTCCAAGCGAGACCTAAGTTTAGACTTGTAATGAAACAGAAAGACCAGAATCTATGTGTAGGTGCGCTTGCATGCCTGCATCGTGTTGGCATTTGCAGTAACAAGTACTGTATATTAAATATGGACTCCAGTGTTTACTTAGAAAGAAAGTCTTCCTTTTCACTGTATGAAAAAGAAACCTATTATCTGTCTCAAATTGAACAGCGTCCTTATTCCGCATTATTGAACGTGTTCAGTAAGTGTCATAATAGGCAGTTGTTACACAACCTGCTCAAGGGGGCCCAGAACCATCTTGTAGAGCAGAGTCTGGAATGGTCAGGCCCCTGGGGAATAATAAAAATGACAACGTAACAACTTGCAGAGGGCTTTCCTATACATCACTCTGCCTCTCCAGAACTCCTCAGCATCTTCAGGGGTGGGGCTAGGGGGTTGCTTCTGCTTATGCCTTAGCATGGCGTAGAGCACACGCCTCCTGATGTCTGGGGAGCCATTGGGTTTCCGCTTGGGGTCCCTGGCAGGGCCATAGTTACCACTTGTCAGCAAAGGGGCCGGGATGCCCTGTGCTGAGAGTGGCCACTCATTCGTGGAAGTAGGTTATTCATGATGTCTGAAGGGCTACTACTCTGTGAGTGACAAAGAACTTTGACAGGCAGTATCAAGGCCCATGTCTCCCCACAAAAACACAGAGAATCATAACAGGAAAGAAGACCAGCACTTGAATGTACTTTACAAACCATCTAGTCCCATCCTCTCCCTTCCCAGACGGAGAAGGAGAATGAGATAAGACAATGGCCAGCCTGTGTGAGGCTGCACATCTCGCTGGTGTTAGAACCAGGTCCAGGGCCCATGACTCCCATGGAAATAGGGCCACAGACTCAGAAGTTTTTGAATCATGCCTTAGTTGCTTATATGCGTGCAGGAGAATACAGATGACTCAGACCCCAGCCAGGAGCCGAGGACTTATACCTCCTCCCCATGCTTCCATGTTACAGGTTTCCTTTTCTCCCAGAGCATAACTCTAATCCCCCTCCCCAAGCCCACCCCCATTCCTACCTGCCCAGAAATGGTTTAAGACCCACAGAGGACAGAGGCTCTTGTATACTCACTCACAGGTAAACAAACTTGTAACATACATGTAAAAAGATTCAAGAATACGTTTTTAAAATAGAGGGAATCTGAGTAAATAAGGTGAAGCATATACGTATGTGAAATGAAATTCAGACAGATCTTTCAAAGAAAATGAGCCCCAGTATTCATTCAGAACAGCAGGGGGAGTATAACAGTAAGAAAGAAGTAAGACGTTAAGGATATTCTTTTGCTAGTTGAGATTTTTAACTTTTAGAATGTATGACATAAAGTTTGGTTGATTATAGAGGATCTGAGTCTCCTCTTCAGTCTCAGCCCAAACCACTGACCTTTGAGACTAGAAAGTAACTTGGTAGATGCTTCAGTGATTTTACTTGGTAAAAACTGACGTTTGTGTAGAAGTGCCCTCGTTCATTGCGTGCATGGTGTGTGCTGTGTTGCAGGAGCACGCGGTCACGATGCCCTGCACGTGGGTGATGGCATGCGCGTATGCCCCATCGGGATGTGCCATTGCATGCGGGTAAGTATGGGTGACACAGCAGCGTTTCACATGTCCTGTTGGCCATAAAATACTGTTCTATGACCTCTCTCCTGGAGGTCAGGTTAATATCTTTAGTCTCTACTTCCGTCAGAGGTGAGAACTCACAGGATGTGTCCCAAAACCTCCATCACAGATCACAGTGTTAGACTGTCCAGTGGCCAAAACCCCAGGCAAAGACACTCCCAACAGACAGGACATTCCAGGGCCTGAGAGATCACCTCCCAGTAGTGAAGGGCAAAGGCCAGACCTTCCATTAAGTAAGGTTAATTCTTCAGTACTCAGTAGGAATGATAAATACTCTACATTTTTAAAAACCCTCAGGTAATATGTTTCTAATCGGGCATTAATTCTAGCAAATGCATAGAGTTGGATGGGTTATATAAATTTCTCAATATTTGCTATTGAGATATCAGATGTCTAGCACCAAATTACAAAAAGAACACGTTGGGTATATCCTTCTGTGATATATGATGAATATAATAATATAGCACACAATGTCTTCAACAGTAGTTCAGAAAATGATTCTGTAGGCTATTTCTTATTTTAACCCTCACTACATGAAACCCAGTGGAGGGATTTCCAGGAGGACAGGGGGACAGTCAGGGGTGAGAATAATTTTACAAGGCCCAGGTAGACAGCTTTTTTGGTGACACCCGGTGCAGAGAGAGTACAGAGTGGAGGAATGGCTGGCGCCTTAATCTCTTGTCATCTCTGTTTCCCGGGTCCTGGCATGTGGTAGATGGTCAAGGTCTGCATTGGCTGTCTTACAGGCTGATATAAAAACCAAAGTAGAAGTTCAAGGTGTGAATATTTGGGAAAGCACTTTTTAAAATATCGGGAGTCCCATGGATGAGGAGAGAGCAGAAAAACTAAACTGAGAAAGACTGAGTCCTCATCTTAGATAAAAGCACCATCTGCCCTAGTCAGACCATGCCGCGATTCGTTTTCAGTTTCCAGTGATAATCTAACATAGTGTTTCCCAGCTATGGCTTGTGACATCCCTGTAACTCCATTATCACACAGAGCCACACCTATGTCATATTCTCTAAATGTCGTTACAGGTGACAAAAGGGTGTTTTTCTCTTCCTCTGGGTCTATCTCTCAGTTGGTTCCAAACTTGAAAGCTGAAACTCTACCAGTATTTACACAATTCCGTTCTCAAAAAAATGTGTCAGTTGATTTTATATACATATATGTGTATTTTTTATTTGAAGCCATATCACCAAGAAGCCTTCATTCAGGTATTGTACACTTGCTATGAGCACCTGTGTGCAAGGCACTGGACTGGGTGTCCTAGGGAAATTCAAAGATGAATAAAACGTAGTACCTGCCTCCAAGAAAGAATAAAAAAATAACAATAATGACCACTTCTTGAGCCTCTATCATGTGTCAAGGGCCATTCTGAACTCTATATTATCTTCACAACAGCCCCTTGTGAAAGGTGAGTGGGATCCACTCCATTTTATAGTTAAGAACACTGAGGCTTAGAGAGGCTAAAAAACATAACAAAGGTCACAGAATGAGTTCGGTACTAAAGCAGAGATGCAATACCAAATGCATCACATTGCAAAACCTTTCTGCTTCTCATAGCAATGCAAATAAACCCAAGTGTGAGTGAGTATCCCGACAGAGCTACAGAAATTACTCTGAAGCTTCAGAATAAGAGAACATGTTTCACCTTGAGAGTCAGGGAAGCCCATAGTCTGAAGCATGCTGGTTCATTGTCACAGCCAAGTGCAAATCATTCCCACTCACACCATCTATAAACATGCTGCCAAAGCTAGTTACTGGTAAGAGACTACCCAAGTCTACACCTGCACCTCCAAGCATTTGGAAAGGCAAAGGGGTCCCCTAGGTTCCCCAGGGCCTCAGAAGGGAATGCCCCTCCTAAATGTCATTCCCCACTAAATGGAAGCAGAGCTCCTTGGAGTAAGACTGATTGTAGGTCTGGGGCAGGAAAAGAGTAAAGTGAGCCTAGGATATTTTCTTGTTCCAGAAAGCAAGGGAACACTCAAGTCATATTAATGGAACCTTATCAAACAGAAACAGGAGCCACTTGAAGGGCCCCCCGCCAACTTTCCAAATTGGGATAATTTTAGCATCACATGGAATAATGGTAGTAATGGATCATAACCCAGTTGAAGAGAAAAAAGAATCCATGGGTGTGCAGTGATACTGGGAGGAGGAGGGATTGGATTTGTCTTTACAGAAAAATATCAGCTGATAAATGCAGAAGGAATTATCAAATTAGAGGATCACCATTTTGTACCATAAACTAATATTTTATTCAAGCAAGGATAATCATGCTAAAGCCATTGTATGATGGTTGTTGGGAACAGGATATTAACATGACCTAAAGGTGTCACACCACAGATTATTATTACAGGCATACCTTGGAAATATTGCAGGTTTGGTTCCAGACAATTGCAATAGAGCAAATATCACAATGAAGTGCGTCACACAAATTTTTTGGTTTCCTAGTGCATATAAAAGTCAAGTTTACACTATACTATAGTCTAAGTGTGCAGTAGCATTATGTCTAAAAAAAAATGTATATACCTTAATTAAAAAATGCTTTATTGCTGGGCTTCCCTGGTGGCGCAGTGGTGGAGAATCTGCCTGCCGATACAGGGCACATGGGTTCGTGCCCCAGTCCGGGAGGATCCCACATGCCACAGAGTGGCTGGGTCCGTGAGCCATGGCCGCTGAGCCTGTGCGTCCGGAGCCTGTGCTCCGCAACGGGAGAGACCACAACAGTGAGAGGCCCGCATACTGCAAAGAAAAAAAAAAAGCTTTATTGCTTAAAAATACTAACCATCAACTGAGCCTTCAATGAGTCTTAATCTTTTTGCTGGTGGAGGGTCTTGCCTCAGTGTTGATGGCTGCTGACTGAGCAGGATGGTGGTTGCTGAAGGCTGGGGTGCCTGTGGATATTTCTTAAAGTAAGACAGCAGTGAAATTTGTTTTATCGATTGAGTCTTCCTTTCACAAACAATTTCTCTGTCACATGCAGTGCTGTTTGATAGCATTATAGCCACAGTAGAACTTCTTTCAAAATTGGAGTCCATCCTCGCAAAACTTGCCACTGCTTTATCAACTAAGTCTGTTAATATTCTAAATCCTTTGTTGTCATTTCAACCACCTTCATGGAATAGATTCCATCTTAGGAAACCACCTTCATTGCTCATCCGTAAGAAGCAACTCCTCCTTCGTTCAAGTTTTATCATAAGATCGCAGCAATTCAGTCGCATCTTCAGGCTCCACTGCTCATTCTAGTTCTCTTGCTGTTTTCACCATATCCGCAGTTACTTCCTCCACTGAAGTCTTGAACCCCTTACTGAAGTCTTAAACCCTTCAAAGTCAGCCACGAGGGTTGAAATCAGCTTCTTCCAAACTCATATTAATGTTGATATTTTGACCTCTTCCGATGAATCACAAATGGTCTTAATGGCATCTAGAATGGGGAATCCTTTCCAAAGGTTTTCAACTTACTCTGCCCAGATCCATCAGAGGAATCCTATCTATGGCAGTTATAGCCTTATGAACCGTATTTCTTAAAGAATGACTTGAAAATCAAAATTTCTCTTTGAACCATGGGCTGCAGAATGGATGTTGTGTTAACAGGCATGAGGACAGCATGAATCTTTTGTACATCTCCATTAGAGCTCTTGGGTGACTGGGTGCATTGTCCAGGAGCAGTAATATTTTGAAAGGAATCTTTTTTTCTGAGCAGTAGTTCTCAACAGTGGGATTAAAATATTCAGTAAACCGTGTTGTAAACAGATGTGTTGTCACCCAGGCTTCATTGTTCCACTTATAAAGCACAGGCAGAGTAGATTTAGCATAATTCTTAAGGGTCCTAAGATTTGGGGAATGGTAAATGAGCATCGGCTTCAACCTAAAGTCACCAGCTGCATTGACCCCTAACAAGAGAGTCAGCCTGCCTTTTGAAGCTTTGAAGCCAGACGTTGACTTTTCCTCTCTAGCTGTGAAAATCCTGGATAGCATTTTCTTCCAATATAAGGCTCATTTGTCTATATTAAAAATCTGTTGTTTAGTGTACCACCTTCTAATTATCTTAGCTAGATCTTCAGGATAACTTGCTGCAGCTTCTACACCAGCCCTTGCTGCTTCACCTTGCACTCATGTTATGGACAATGGCTTCTTTTCTTAAATCTCATGAACCACCTCTGCTAGCTTCAGACTTTTCTTCTGCAGCTTCCTCACCTCTCTCAGCCGTCATAGAATTGAAGAGAGTCAGGGCCTTGCTCTGGATTAGTCTTTGGCTTAAGGGGATGTTGTGGCTGGTTTCATCTATCCAGACCAGACTAACACTTTCTTCCTTTCAGCAATGAGGCTGTTCTGCTTTCTTACTCATGTGTTCCCTGGAGCAGCAATTTTAATTTCCTTCAAGAACTTTTCCTTTGCTTTCACAGCCTGGCTGTTTTGCACAAGAGGCCTAGCTTTCAGCCTGTCTTGGCTTTCAGCATGCCTTCCTCACTAAGCTTAATCATTTCTGGCTTTTTATTTAAAGTGAGAGGCATGCAGCTCTTCCTTTCACTTGAATGCTTGGATGCTATCGTAGGGTTATTAATTGGCCTAATTTCAATATTGTTGTGCCTTAGGGAATAGGGAGGCCTGGGGAGAGGGAGAGAGAGAGAAGAATGCCAGTCAGTTGGAGCAGTCAGAACACACACAACATTTATCGGTTAAGTTCACCATCTTACATGGGCATGGTTCATGGTGCCTCAAAACCATTACAATAGTAACAGCAAAGATTACTGATCACAGATCACCATAACAAATATAACAATAATGAAAAAGTTTGAAATATTTGTGAGAATTACCAAAATGTGACAGAGACACAGAGTGAGCAAGTGCTGTTGGAAAACTGACACCAATAGACTTGCTTGATGCCAGGTTGCCACAAGCATTCAATTTGTAAAAATGCAATAAAGCAAAGCGCAATAAAACAAAATATGCTTGTAATTACAAACAAATCACCCTTACCATGGAGAGATCTGGTGGTCCCCACTTTGACCAAGTAATCAAAGTTGGCGTCACCAATCTTGACACAAGAGGCATTGCAAGCCTCTTAAAGTGAAGCAGTAAGAAAGAAATAACACAATATCACCTTTATATATCACATTTATATTATTGTTAAAAATGTTATACTTGAGGGACTTCCCTGGTGGCGCAGTGGTTAAGAATCTGCCTGCCAATGCAGGGGACACGGGTTTGAACCCTGGTCCGGGAAGATCCCACATGCTGCGGAGCAGCTAAGCCCGTGTGCCACAACTACTGAGCCTGTGCTCTAGAGCCTGCGAGCCACAACTACTGAAGCCCGTGTACCACAACTACTGAAGCCCATACACCTAGAGCCCATGCTCTGCAACGAAGAGAAGCCACTGCAATGAGAAGCCCATGCACTGCAACTAAGAGTAGCCCCCGCTCGCCGCAACTGGAGAAAGCCCATGCGCAGCGATGAAGACCCAACGCAACCAAAAATAAGTAAAATAAAATAAAATTTTAAAAAAAGGTTATACTTAAATATAACCATTAAGAAACAACATGACAAATCCAGACTGTGTGACATTCTGTAGGACAACTGACCTAAGTCTTCTCATTATAAACAACCAAAAAAATGTGTCTGTTCTCCATTAAAAGTTCTAAAAAAGATATAAAAACAGAATGTAATGTGTGGATCTAAATGGGCCCTGGATCCTGGAGACAGTTGGGAAAGACTGAATATGGATAGCTTATTAAACGGTGTTTGGAATTTTTGTTTTCGCAGATGTGATAATGAGTTAGTGATTATAGAATATGTTCTTAGTTTTAGGAGATGTAAATTTGCAGATTGAAGTATTTAGATGTAATGTGTCATGTCTGCCACTTGTATTCAGATGGTTCAGAATTTGCTCCCACAAATATGGCAAAATGTTAAGTTAGTGAACGTATGTGAAGAGATCTGGGTGTTCATAGTACTATTTTCTCTTTCAATTTTACTGTACACTTGAAAATCTTCAAAGTAAAAGCTGAGGGAAAGGTTATAGCATATGATACTGCCAAAGGAAAACCATTTGAAAAGTTTGTGTGAATGAGAAAGCATATGAATATTCTACTGCCCTATGTTAACATTTGACACTTCTGTCTTTCCATGCTAGTGGCTTGGATAATAAGTGTTCTGTGTATCCACTGACGTTTGACAAAAATGAAAACATGGCTGCCAAAAAGAAGTCCGTTGCTATGCACACCAACTACCTGTCGGCCTGCAGCTTTACCAACTCTGACATGCAGGTAAATAAGGGGATGCATGATGACGGGCCAGCCTGCTGGGGAGCAGGGTTGGTCATGGAGAGCTAAAGTGGAGTTGCAGGCGAGGAAGCTGTTCTGGTGTCCCTCTTCACAGGAGGCTGTGTGCACTCCAGTTGACTCTAAGAGGAAGCTCCTGTTGTTTTTCATATATATGTGTATATGTGTGTATATATGTTTATATGTGTATGTGTGTATGTTTATATATGTGTATATGTGTGTGTACATGTATATATGTTTATATATGTGTGTATACGTGTATGTGTGTGTGTGTTTATATATGTGTATATGTGTGTGTATACGTGTATATATGTGTGTATATGTGTGTATACGTTTATGTGTATATATGTGTGTGTGTATATATGCTTTTTTTTTTTTTTTTTTGAGCATGCCACTCAGCTTGTGGGATCTCAATTCCCCTACCAGGGATTGAACCCAGGCCACGGCAGTGAAAGGGCCGAATCCTAACCACTAGACCACCAGGGAATTCCTGGTTATATTATTATTTTTAATAAAATCAGAAATGGGGAAATTCAGGGCTGTTGACTGTTGGCAGAGATGAGATGAACTCCATGCCATATTGAACCTCCTCCTCTAATTGACTTGGTGGGGGTGGGAGTGGGTCAAGGAAACTTCTGGGGTGGTGGAAATTCCTGTCTGGGTCAGAGAGTTGGTTCCAAGGTGCCTCCGTATGTAAACCTTCACAGGGTGCTGACTTTCAGAGTTGGGTACGTGACACGCCTCATCGTACCTATTTTTCACTCCTGTTTTAACACATTCGAAAAGAAAAAGCATCAGAGGGTAAATCTGTGCCCTACTTTGAACAAGCCACAAAGTGGAGACAATCCAACTTCAACGCTTTGGCCACGTTTTCTCTCACAAGTCCTAAAGCATCCTATCGTGTCTCTGTCACATCTCTCCAGAAAGCCTGCACAGATGCCACCACCCGCATTGCCAGATACCAGGGGTGACTGAATAGCAGGGGAGGCTGGGAGTTCAGAGCAGGAGTGGGGGGTCGTAAACGTGCTGCAGGGGCCACCCTGGAGGATGAGTGTGTTGCCAGTGAGGTGGAGGGGAGCATTGTAGGAGGCAGGTGGCCCGAGAGGTGGGCAGGGCCCGATCACAGGGTGCCCTGAGTGGCGGGGCTGACCCTACAAATGGCAGGGAGCCATTGCTGGGGCTGGGGCAGATTGGGTTTGCTTGAAGGAGGAGACTGAGTCAGATTAAAGGCCACTCTGGCTTCAGCTGACTGACGTCAGCAGCGGGGTTGGGGGTGGCAAGGATAGCGGCAAGGAGACCCGGGGATGGGTAATTGTCTCACTTCTGACGGGAGGGCTGTTCGGACTTGGCAGCGTTTACACCTGTTTTTCGCGACCAGGAGTCTTGCAGGCCTGTGCAGTAGAGAGTGCTGTTGCCCTGGCTGCTGCAGTGGCCACATCGGATGTCTTTGGGCCTGAGGGGCAGCCAAAGCAACAGAGGATGTTTAGTCTCCTGTTCTGGATGGTGAATCCTGAGCAAGCTTTTATTATTCTCTGTGTTTTGTTTTTCTCACTTGCAAGTGAGGATCGTAGTAAATTCCTCCCTCATGAGGTTTTCTGAGGATTAAATGAGATGATTCATCTCAAATACTTAGTAAATATCAATAAACATTAGCTCTTATTGTTTTGTTATTTATATTAACGCAAAGCTTCATGGGTGATTCAGATGCATAGCCTAGTTTGGGTACCACTGAACTCATGAACTAAGCTTCCTTCCAGCTCTGGGATCTAAGATGAAAAACAGAAACCTCAAAAAGCTGTTATAAGACCTACAGATTCTCTACATTCCAGAATAAATGAGTGACAATGAGTTAGAGGATCTGTTTAGTGCATTTATCATAATGAATGTTTGGTTTATAAAATTTATTTTTACTTACATTGTAATGAAGAGCACAAATATTTAAAATATTTTTTAAATATTAAGAAGTTACTGTTAACTTTTAAAGACTATTCATTTCTTTGACTGAAGAGTATGGTATGGAAAATTCCCATTAAAGAGCTAGACCGAGGGAATCATTTCAGGCAGTCATTTGTTTGGACCTGATGTCCCAAAAAAGATTGGCAATTACTGGCCCCTTTGCAAATGTTAGGACAGGACTGGGGTGGAGCATCCCCTAGTGGGTGTGGCCAGCAGAGATTGGAGGGAATTGTAGCACATCACAAAATACAAGTTCTCAAATTAAGACATGGTCCAAGTCTTGTGTGTTCCTAAGCTGCTCTGACCAGCCTGAGTCCTCTTGTCAGGTGTACAAAGGCCTCTTAAGGGAAGTCGAGGCCAGAGGGAGTCCCATGGGCAGCTGCATGGGCTTTGTAGCCTGGAGGGTCTCCAAATTTGAGAGCTGCCTGCAAGTGGGGGCTTTGAGGAGGGCCTTGGGGCCCACACCCAAGAAGCCTGAGAACTCTGGAACTCAGCCAGCTCTTTCTCCATGGAGGGGCCTCTCCTGGCTGCAAGAAGATCCTAGGCCTCCCAGACTGCTGGCAGGAACACACTCCCAAGACGGTGTGGCCAGCAGGTGCAAGGCCAGGGTGGGAATGGATTCTTTCCTTGTAATATGTCCCCTCCCTGCAAGAAACAGAAGATTCTTTTACAAGTGCTAGGCCTAGCGTGTGAGAGGGAAGGGAAGAGAGGGGGAAGGAGGGAGAGGATGAGAGGAGACCACCAGCACGTGGAAACTAGGGGTGCAGCACAGTCAGTGGGTGCACTGAATGCTGGCAGTCCTTTAAGGCCTACTTCCTGTTTTCTTTCCTCAGCCATCAGTAATCTCCACCCACAGAGGGCTCTGTTGTGGGCACTTACACTGCAAGAGCCCCTTCCCACACTGTCTTATCACCTCGTCCAGCCCCTGTGAGCAGCAGGAAGGTGGGGCGTAGGGAGGCTCTGCTTGCCAGGGCTTAACCCTTGTGGGTCCCCCTATGGCTGCTCAGAACCATGCTGGCTCCAGGGCTCTGCGATACCATCAGCTGGGTCTTTGAGGCCTTGAGCCCTGGATCCCCACTGCCTTTCTCCCAATTGCAGCAGAGCCCAAGCCTCACACACACTGGCAGCAACAAAATTTAAAACCCTAGTTCTGGCCACCATGCCTTTCCCCAGGCACCCCAGTGTTCTTCTTCATTCATGGGCCAGCCTTTGTATTTGAAACTATCCAGAGTCTGCTTGAGGGACAGCTGCACTGACCTCAGACAGATTTTCCTAAAATATACCCTTGATTTGGTCATTCTGCTCAGAAGCTTTCCACAGGTCCCTCTTGCCTACAGGCTAAAGTCCTGACTCCGTACCCAGGCACACCTTTCATTCACTGCACAGGTGCGCCTTCCCCTCAGCTCGCTCTGCTCTCCTCCCCTTCCTTTGTGAGTGGCCAGCTCTCAGTCCTCCTCTGAGATCAGCTCACATGTTGCCAAAGTGGGTTTGGTGTCCCTCTCACAGACCTACCTATATCTCAGCACTTCTCACTCTGTCGTAAGTGATCCTTGTCTCGTCTGCCAAGACCATCAGAAACACCTGCCACCCAGCAATGCTAAGTTTATTAGACCTACTGCAGCAAGGGAGAACCCCAACTTGACAGAATCACTATACCGTCTCAAAATGAAGAAACTGGGGAAGGGTCCTTAGAGGGTTTCAGGGTCCAGGGTGAGTGGTCCAACCTCACCATGGTTGCAGACCCTGAATTGCAGTTCTCTGTGGGTCCTGAATAAACCCATCTTTGCTGGAGAAATACCTGGCAGTCTATTTGTTTCAGGTCAACAGCTTGCTCACCAGGACTTGCTTTATAAGACCCTTACCTCGCTGGGCTTACCAACCCTAAGCTATTATGTCATAACTAGTTTTCCACCTTAAAAGACCCACCTTAAAATGGGAGGGCACACACCTTGGCAGCGGTCGTGGAGGAAACCGGCGAGGCTTCCGGAAAGAGCTGGTGAGCAAGCTGCTGCCCCTGCGCTTTTTTTGCCTGCAACCATAGCGAGTGGACCATGGCGAGGCATGTGCAAGTCCCCACACAGCAAGGCAAGGAGAACCGTTTTACGGGGTGGAAAAGGAAGTTGGGAGGATTAAACAGAGTTCATGGCTTTTCTTTTTTTTTTTTAATTTATTTATTTAATTTATTTATTTTTGGCTGCATTGGGTCTTCATTGCTGTACGTGGGCTTTCTCTAGTTGTGGTGAGCGGGGGCTACTCTTCATTGTGATGCGTGGGCTTCTCACTGTGGTGGCTTCTCTTGTTGCAGAGCACGGGCTCTAGGCTCGCGGGCTCAGTAGTTGTGACTTGCAGGCTCTAGAGTGCAGGCTCAGTAGTTGTGGCATGTGGGATCTTCCCGGACCAGGGATCGAACCCGTGTTCCCTGCATTGGGAGGTGGATTCTTAACCACTGCGCCACCAGGGAAGCCCGAGTCCATGGCTTTTCATTGGCTGAATCCTTCCCAGGAAAGAAGAGAAGTCTGTCTTCTTCCTGTTGGTCTCTATCATCACAGGACATGAAAGCTCCCCCTTCCGGTCTCCCACTGTATTTAATTGAGGCTTCTGTTTCATTAATTTTTTACAAAGCTGTTAGTCTTGATAAGTAAGCTTAGTTGGTTCACAGTTTTATCTTGCAGGAGCAGTTATTTCCTGGAGCGGGCAGCTAGGTTATTTTTACTTGGTTTCTCAGTATTGTCTAATGCAGCACCGGGAAGTGTGCCTGGCCCTGGAATTGATTAACGTAGGGACAGGGAGTTTGGTGGGTTTCAGTCCTTCCTGACAATCCTGTTAACCAAGTTCCAGGAGAGCAGAGACCAAGACACAGTCTTTCTGCAAACCCTGATGCCTAGCGGAGGGCCTGGACGTGGTCAGCACACGGCAGATGCTGGTTGACCCTGTGTGTCTGTCAGCACCACTCAGTGGCCCAGGGAGCCTCTGGGGGATCCGGCTACAGGAGACTGTGTTTAGCAAAATCCTGCTCCAGGTGGGTCCCGGCAAGCAACGTCAGCATCACCTGGGAGTTTGTGGGAAATACAGAATCTCAGGCCCCACCCCAGGCTCTCTATTAGCAGCTGCGTGTGGGGTTGCACATTAATGTCTGGGAAGCACGACGCTGGGCTTGGGTGCTTGTGGGAGCCGCTTGAGGTTCTGTGAAGCAAGCGTTCACAGAGCCCTTCCTACGTGGCAGGCAGGTATAGAGCCCCGCAGGTACCACAGGGAGACCTCTGGATTCCATACTCTGCAGGAGGACAGGCACATAAACAGCTCCAGGACAGCGAGGGTGTCAAAAATGAACTGTTTCTTTCTCAGTACCAGAGAAAGAGTTCTGTGCTTGAGTCCAGATTTAGCAGGGTGTGTGTGTGTGTGTGTGTGTGTGTGTGTGTGTGTGTGTGTGTGTG